GGTCACGTAGACCAAATAGTGTCTGGTGATGTGTTTGTTCTAGTACGGGTACAAATTTGCATTAGTATGACCCGAAATTGGAATTTAACTTGAAGAGCGTAAACAAGTTATTTTGAAGGTCTACTAAAATTTGTCTTTTCGGTCTAAATTTCGAAATAGATATATTGTCTCACGATTGTATTCGACTGTTTTCGACCATAATTGATTCCAGTAGCAGCTGTGACTACGCATTTATTTTACGAATTAAGCTAATTAATATTAACTTTATCTAATATTAATTAATCTGTTTTGAAATTAGAGAGGCATCTGTTTTTATTCATTAGAATGCAGTCTAAACTAATTTTGTTTACATTTACGAATTACTAATATTTAATTACTATTTTAATTAGACATTAGAAGTGTCTTGAGAAGAATCAGTCCGCTAAGTAAGGAAAATCTTTACCTACTAAAAACACAAATACAACTGACTATACATATAATCAGGGTATTCCTGTTTATCCTCAACTACCTTCAAGCTATTTAGATATGGTACAGACGATGTGTTGTTACTTGTTAGAAGAGGTATAGGCAGAAAAACGTTAGTATTTGCTCAACGTTGCTACAGGTTATTTTAAGTGAACCGTGGCGGACGGAATACATTCCCGATTAATGGCGATAGATTGGGTCTGGCTAGAGTGGGGCTTTTTGTATGGCTCACTCGTAGTTACTGGATTAGGGTTGGGGTACAATGGGGGGATGTAGAGAAAGTAATTTTCTTTTTTATTATAAGCCAGTTTAAACTAGAAGGAATATGGATAATTAGAGAAAACTAATTAATTAATTTCCTAAGAAATATAAAAATGAAAGGTTGATTAATTTTATACGGTACGATCCATGCGATAAGTTTTGTGAGTTCGCTCTGTAGGTTCTGGTTACCTCATGAACCACGGGCCAAAAGCATGTCATTATGTATGCAAAATATGACAGTAAATTACGTACACGAAATATGTAGGAAATACTAAATTACAAAGTTTACGACACACGTAGTTTGCGGTTATACGCACTCGCACTAGACATCATACATAGACAACCACTACCGCAGACTGGAGCGGCGAGTGTGTCACCAGCCTTACCCACTTGCAGTTGATATGCGGTTTCTGGTACTAACGCGAGCTTGCAACTCACTCAAGTAGCCACTTCGTATATGTCAGTTACGTGAAGTATATAGCATCACGCATTTTAGTCGCCTTTCATTCGTATAGATGAAATTGTACCTAGTTTACTCGGTTCTTTACCATATTTTTTCACAGCTTTATCATTCGTACTATAATCCCATTAAGTTCTAGAGCAGGTAAGCCTATTGTTACAGACGTATTACGTAATAAGATTTTTTAGCATTTCCACTAGAGAAAACCAATCATACTTTACCTTATCCATGGTCATACCCACCCACTGATAAGAATTCAAAACTTTAACGTCTTTAATGCAATTGTAAGTCACTACAAAAATGTCACAACCGCCATTACAATAACTGGGTCACTACACAAACATCAAATTAAAGAAAGCAGAATAACAGAGGTCCAATAAATACAACAATAAACCAAACACAAGTATGTAGGTCAGTGTATCAACGCTCGAAAACCTCATTTGAGGTCAAAGGTCATAACCGTCCCTAGAACCTTACTAACATAAGGTGATAATTGGACCCTAACTTGCATTGCATCCACGTATGCCCATGATTCGGGTTTATTTGCCTTCACAGTTATAAGTTGTAAAACTATAATCTAAGATCGCGATAGAGAATCAGGTGATGGGAATGCTTCGTGTATATTTATTTTTACCGACTTCAAAAAAAGGAGGAGGTACTATGTTCGGCTGATTGTTTTTTTTTTTGTTTGTTTACTCCGCCATTTGTGAACCGATTTCGAAAATTCTTGTTTTGTTTGAAAGGGTATACTCCCGAGATGGTCCCATTTCCATGAAGTCAGGATCTGATGATGGGATCCTAGGGAAACCGAGGGGAACTTTCGAAAATTCTATGGGCGAGTTAAGGGTCCCAGACCCTTAGGAGTCAACCTGATGATGAAGCCGACAGACAGTCGAGGGAACTCCTCAGCGGTTTATATTAACTACCTTGTTATTCGATATTTAGCTAAGAAATACTTGATTAAATAGTAATCAACTGTCCATAATAGTTCACTTTTGAACTACGACTTTTCTCTACATAAGAAGGTTTGTCATTGTTTTCCATGCTTGTTTAGACAGCAGTTTTATAGGGTTTAGGCTGACTAGAGAATTATATTATTCGGTCTCTTTACAATATATAGGGTAATGACTTTTACTGTTTAATACACAAGTCTATTTTTGCTGATTCTCTATTCAATCCAAAGGTTGACTGGGAGAAAATGCCATATGGCATTAAGTCCGTCTTATGTACCTTATTTTGTGTGCATTAAAGAGTAAATAATGACACCCCCCAGGAGGAGTAGAGATGATGATAAATATATTCAACTTTGCTGTCACTTTTTTTATCGAATAGGAGGTAAATAAGCAGACGGATCACTTAATGGTAAGTGGTCAGCGCTGCACATAGACACCTGCAATACTGGAGGAGTCACAGGTGCGTTGCTATCCTTTAAAAAAACATAACGTTCTGTTCCTGAAGGTCTGAAGTCACTATAATGGCATACAAAACATTTCAATCCCTTAAAGACAATCAAAATTTATCAATAACCAGTTTTCATTTACTGATTGTTTGTTCCACGATAATTAAAACACTGTTTAAAATGTAAGTTATTGTGCAGACAGCACTTGAAATGTTTAGCCGTCATGTTTGTTACGTTCAAGCCTCCTTTATAACAATTACAAAAATACACAATACTTCTCTAATAGATAGAATGCTTTCTCGTAATACTTATAGTAATAAGTTTGTTGTCTCTTGAAGGAAAAAATAACGAAGCTAGCTGCTCACAGAATATATTATACAAGTTCCGTGTCTAGACTTTTTGACCATACCTTTCTTTACTTATGACCTTACTTTAGCAGCAATGAAATGCTTTGAATTTGTTAGCAAACTTTCTTCTACAATTTATTGTACCTACCGAAACCAATTTCAGAATCGAGATTAGTTATGTTAATCATGTCAAAGTATCAAATTATCTACATACTCGTATCTTAAACTCAACATGCTGCGTGCTGTATCCATAGGTAAGCTCTCTCAAGCATTGTTCACGATTTCGATCATGTGTAACCAAACAGTATTGTATATGGCAATCTTCTTTTAGCTTAACGGAAAGGAATAGTGGGCGAGTTATCAAATAATAATCTTCACAAAGAAACGAATACACAAATCCATAGGTACGGTGTTTAAACACACACGAAATTTTGGCTATAGCTTCGTTCGGGTCAATACATATTTACGGATCCATTCCGTTTTCCGTGTCTATTCCAATTTCAACATTGATATGTATTTTTTTTCGCTTGTCAAAATCTTAAAGTTAACCATTTCACAAATTTTACGACATCGTCCAAGGGTACATACTTTTTTATGTCTGTGTTGTTATCTTATTGACTACAGAAACACCTCTCTTTTTCAATGTTATGTCTATTCCACGCTTTCTCCTTTAATCTCCTATTATCAAATGACAAAAACCTTGATCACTTTATGGTCAATTTGGAGATTACATATCAAAAACGTCCTTCCATTCCATCCTTTTTACTAGCGTCTAAATTACTAACCAATGTGATAAAGGCAACATTATGTACCGAAAACAAATCGTATTGTTCTCTTGAAGCTCATAACTTTCATTATCCTTTTGTTATCGCGTCTCTACAAAATATCTACATTATTAACTAGTGTTGACTGGCTGAGTGTTTGTACGCTATTTATGCCTTTGGAATGGTTCAGAGTGAAATGGAAGGACAATAAAAGTTATCGGAGGCCCGTTAAAGGTGACATTGTGTGGTAATGAAACGTATAGGTGTTAGACCACCTTGCTAGCTGGCTGGTGAACCCCAACCGCTCCCAATAGTCCCTTGTTAACGCAAGCTTTGCTGCGATTCGGAAATTTTATGATCTTTGGAATATTTTTATGGTATCATTGGAATTTGTTAAAGGTGAAACGTTCAAATTAACACCCACGGTTAATCCGTGGACGAAAAGCTTTTTGTTTGTTTAAGGGAGTCTCTTGGTATTTATATACTTCATTTTTAAAGCAGACAGCATAAACAATGAAAAATATTTTAATAGAATATGTATAATGGTGGTTAACAGCAAAAATGTAAACTTACAGACGAATAAATTAACAAAAGCCAACTACAAAACATTATAACGATTTATTTAGTTTTCTCTATATACCTTATACCTTTATATACCTACACTTGCCTCCTAGAATATTTTTAATCGAGAACAACACTGAAACAATAACAAACGAATCTGTTATTTTTAACAAATAAACGAGTACAATTATTTATCTCGATTCTAAAGACTCGGTTACATCATACGAGAAAAATATCCGCAAATACTGGTCCTTCACAATATATGAGTTCAGTTAGTAACCGCAAAAATTAGCTGCGGCCTAGCCACGATACACAAAACAACAATACTCGATTGATACCGACATTAATGCCCGCTTAACAATTGAATGATAAACGACATTATTGCAATGCGAATAACCAAACATCGATTCTCGATTCGGTTCACGAACTCTATTTTTATTACCAATCAAATTTTTGTCTATTATTTGCCGAATAACATGCGTCACGTATTTATGGGTCCATTTAAAATAATAAAAGTAAAGTTATCGTTACATTAGCATATAATTCGCATTTAACGGAATTCCGTTGTGTTCATAAAAAATGTTCTTGATCGTTGCGGGAATTAATTTGCGGTTGTTAATAAGTTGTCAAGCGGCAAGGGCTAGGAATGATTTCCTTGTGTAATAACGAAGTACTCTCCATCCATAGCACTTTGGAAGTTACGGATGCGTTCAATGTCCAGTCTGCTGAAAGCAACTCGGTCGCGCGTACATCGGGCGACGCGTATGCTCGCCGCGTAATACCGCCCTTAAGCACGCGACTAGTATTATAATACAAATACACCTTTTTAAAATAAACACCTAAAAGTTCTAATTAAAATTTGATTATGAAATATATTTATTAAAGTGGCCTGTCTTCGGTATCGTTTATAGTAGGCGTTATATTGGCAATCTCCGTTAAAATAGGTAAGTTTCTTATTGATATTTTATTGCATTTTTATTGCTGTTTTATATTTAATTTTATCGTAAAAGGATTGTCTATGGATGTTATTAATGGCCGTGGTTATGTTTGTTATGTGATGTAAATAGTGCGATATACGGATCGAATTTATTTACGATGTTTTTTTTAAAGTCCTTATGGAAGAGAAATGTGTAAGTGTGTTTTGTATGTCAGATTTGGTTGCGTTATGTTATGACCCAGTTCAGTTCGTTATTTACCTTAGAAACGGCGCAGGCGCAATGATAAGGTATTGTGAAGTTACCTTAATTCGGAGCATGTGTGAGCTTCTGTGAAGTGTGTTGGATGAATTGAACTAAACATTTTTGTTTACATTTAACAAAATACTAAGATCTGATCTGTTTTCGGATCTGGAGGTCAATGACCGAGGAAGTTTGAAAGCGAAGCGAAGTATGATTAGTGATAATTTTTACACCTAACTAAACAATTCATTAAACAGTAATTATAGTGAGAACGTGTGATTGCATACAATAGAACAATTTGTGCTTGTTAGTATGAGTATTTGGTGCGCTTTTACTCAAAAACTTCTGAACAGATTTCGATGATATTTTAGTTTAATATAGAACTTTACCTCTATTAATTTAATACATACTTATTACCCCAATGAATTGCCTCGTTGGCCTAGTGGTCGCAAGTGCGACTGTCGGGCAAGGGGTCTCGGTTTCGATTCCCGGGTCGGGCAAAGTATTACTGGGTTTTTTTTAATTCTCAGTAGTAGCACGGAGTCTAGAATTGTGCCATAGGTTCAACCCGTTTTACGTGGGACTCATATCATAAATAGTGTGAAAAGGGGGTGTTACATTGTACAGTGGCATAATGTGCACACCTCTGTCATTTTCGGGGATAGAAGGCGTGATGTTATGTTATAGACATGTCTATATGATCTAAATTCCTTTCTATAATCACCATATTTATGTCCATATCATGTATTATGTGAAATTATGTCTTAATTATCTTGTGACCCAGGTAATAGTAGGGTGCTGTTTGTATAGCCCACGTGTAATTGATAACAGAGGCCTTAGTACGAGTTTCATTTTCGTTTAAAGTATTCGAAACGAGTATACGTTCGGCACTCTGATTGGCCGGCACCAACGAAGCAACCAATCACTGCGCCGAACGCGTACTCGTTACAATTACTTTAAACGTAAAATGAACTCGTACTAAGGTCTCAGGTAGGTAACACACTGACACAGTGCACAGATGTTGTAATATTTGTGAATGCAGTGTGACAATATTTGCTGGAAGTATTTACTATGCTCTCGAGTTGATAACGCGGTTGCTAGGCTAAGAAAATGCGTGCTACCTATATATGTTGTTATGTTGATCTATGATATGTCTATGACGATACTGGAAATGCGAAGGTTTGTTTATAGAGGTAAGTGTAAGTTATGTGAAACAAATTTGTAATTTTAAATGTGATTTCTTTCTGACCATTGGGTGTATAGTTTAACTTTTTGCTCAAGAACCTCAAGACCTTTTGCATAAGCTGTTATTTAAATGTTCCGAAAAAATCGGTTCGATATAACCCACCAATTGCTGTCAACCAAATTCTTCCTCAAATTGTAGACAGAGCTCCTATATTTTGCGACTGAGCATGGATTTTAATAGATTGTGCAAGGATTTAGGACTCGATCCATTTACCACAAGCAGATCCAGGGTGCGTAGGCGACTAAACTTTATATATTTTTAATGAATAGTTTTTCTACTTTTATGTGCATTGCATTCTCAAAACTATATACTGTAGCTAGCCGTGGAAATCTATAATTGGCTTTGTATTAGTATATCCTGAGTTTTTATTCTTTGTAATATAGTTAGCTGTTGGTTACCCGAATTAAAATAAATAATGGGTAGTCAATAACATAAATAAGCTCTCAAATTACGTGTAGTAACATTTTTATACAACCCAATTTTCACGCGACCGAAATTACAGACAATACGTAATACTCACATATTTTTTAACCCGTGAACGTGTTTATATAAATCTATTACATTGTTCCATATGATAGGAATTTGCGTAGTATAATGTCACATACTGAAGTCGTAATACTCAATTTTGATGAGACTAAATTATCTTATGTTCGTACATTCCAATGTGGTAGTTCACTTCACCTTGGAATAGTATTAATTTAGTCATGTGTTGTTGGAAAGGCATATTTTACGTGCCATAAATTTTCGAGCTGTACACTGCTTCTTTCAAACGCCTGATTTGTCTTGAGTCTCGAAAAGCTTCGAAAACAATGGCTGTGTTCGAATAAATTCTGGTTTCATTTGTTTTTATATTGATTGAGTAATTGTTCCTGGTATTTCGGAGTTTGATTTTCTTTTGATGATAATATACCTACTATGTTCAAAAGGAGATAAACATAATTTAGTTTATTATGTGTGTGTTCATAAATCTTTTTATTTTCATGAAGTGTTGTACAGTCATCTTAAAGATTTTGTCTTGTTTATTGACTTCATAAAATGACTAATTTTATCAAGTCAATATAGTATATTCACAATACGATTATCGTAAACGTACCCAATTTCTTACAGAGGTACCTTACTTAAATTATTTTTTAAGTCACAATTGGCTGAAAAAATTACACTGTAAAATATATTTTAACAATTTCTTTTAATAATTTATCCATCATTCGATTGTTTTTGTTTTTTTAAAAACGTTGCCCCACACTAGGATTTTCTCCTGTGCTGTGGGTGCGTTTACAAACATACAATATCACATACACATGACACCCAGACCCAGAACAACAATCTGTGGATCACACAAAGAGTTGTTCCATGCGGGAATCGAACCCGCGACACGTTGCGCGGCAGCCAGTTGCTCAGCCACCGCGCCAACTGTGCAGTCAAAGTCAGATTGGTGTCTTCATAATTAAAATAGTAAAAATAAACACATATTATTTTCATTGTTCCAGAAATCATGCAAGACAACATAAAATTGGACGTGACCTCACCATGGTGTTCAAAAATCGAGGAGTGACGTGACAGGAACAGTTCGGTGTTAAACAAGCGATATTTTGGGACACCATAAATCTAATCCCATTCAAGAAATAATCCATTAAGCTGTCGTTACTCAATAAAATGACAGACAAGTGTATCTTTATATGTAATAAAATTTTACAGTGAAGTCGTAAAATGGGGAAGAAAGTATATTTTCTTAGTAAAAAGCTGTTTAGGTGAGTATTGTTGTTTATTAACTTGTAAGTGTAGTGTGATTAGAATTATGAATTGTGGACTTTCAGCTACTGTTTTTACGGTTTAATTAGCTATTTTCAATTGTAAAATTGCCCAATGTGAAGGCAAAATAATATGCCTATCGATCGATTTGGGATAATTTAGGATGTACTTTGATATCAAACTGGAACAACTATTAGGTATATCTAGAGTAAGAAAATATATTTTTAAAATTATAAGAACTTGATATAAACTATTAAACTCTAAAACGTTGTATTTACAAGCCATCAATAATTCTTCATTGTTCTTTGGCTAAAGTGATTTGTGAGAGTGCAGTAATAATAATTTAATCTACATCAATTTACAAAAGCTTTATCTACCTACCTACCTATTATCTACTAGGTATCTCAATTGATGAGATCAAAAGATTTCCCAGGTGATATTTTCTAGATATACCTATATGTCGGAGGATGGTATGGGCGATGTCAAGCGAGAGCCCTCTTCGTCATATATATCGGTAGAGGTATGTTTATGCAGTAATAAAACAATTAAATCTTCGTAAATAAAGTAACGTTTACTTTCGACAGTGCACCTTTACTTGTTCGCATTTTAATTAAGTCGGCATTTCCTACGGACTACTCTGAGAAGAAACGCCGAAACAAACTCAGAGGTCTCAGTCCCTTTCAAAGTTCACAAATGGTCAAAATACATCAAAGTTTAGTCCACTTACATTGTAATAATATTCACAGTTATAATCTCAAACAATATAATGTCAATGACAATTTCACAGAGTCGGCATTTCCTACGGACTATTCTGAGAAGAAACGCCGAAACAAACTCAGAGGTCTCAGTCCCTTTCAAAGTTTACAAATGGTCAAAATACATCAAAGTTTAGTCCACTTACATTGTAATAATATTCACAGTTATAATCTCAAACAATATAATGTCAATGACAATTTCACAGCACTGATTCTGATGATTGCAATCATTATTCGGCCGACAGCATTCCCAGTGCGTCGTTGTTCGTTCGGAGTCCCAGCCAAAAGTGCCTGCTGTTCTGCGATGTTGAAAGTCACTCAATCTCCCCCACTCTTAGGCGGACATGACGTCACAATTAACTCTTGAAGCGCGCCATCTTTATTCATTTTGTTGTTATTCCTTCGTTTTGTAGTAAATCGAAATCTCGTACTAATGACCGTTCCGACA